TAACGAAGTTTAAGAAAATATATACAAAAACAATAGCTACCCTTTTTATTTTAATAGAAATAAACGTTTATATGGGAGTTGTAGAAAAATGCAAAAATTGTAATTTTTGTTCACGAATGTTGATCTTCAGTTGTTATTACGTGGACAATATCCAGGATAAGTCGATTGCCCGATTCGTTGAGGTGGCGTGAGATCGAATTGATGGAAATAGGGATGTCACAAGCCGTTGCTGCTAGACGTCTCAATATCTCTCGTAGTGTGGCCCACCGACTATGAAATCAGTTTGAATGCGAGGATTCTGTGTCTAGAAGACCTAGAGTTACAATACCTGCAGGAGACTGTTATTTATGTCTTTCCGCCCGAAGAAGGAGTAATGCTACTGTGCCTCAGCTCATGGTAGATCATTTAGTGGCAAAAAGAAGACAAATAACAGCTACTATAATGCACAGACTTAAAGTGTGGATATTAGCAGGTAGCAATACGTCCTGATGACTGAGAAAAGACGGTGTTTACTACCTGAGAGGGAGGCAGTTAGAGGTGATGCCGTTGACTATGTAATGCGCCGGCAGCATTCGAACACGTTATGGAGATCGTGTTGAGAGGTCTTTTTAACGAACACTGTCTGATATACCTGGATGACATCTTCACCGCCGGGAAGACTTTGGAAGAACATTTAGAAAATCTTAGAAACTTAGCCTCAGAAACTGATGGAAGCAAGTTTTAAGTGCGGCCAAACGTGAAATATTCAGACAGAAAGCAACTTTCCTCGGACATGTCAGCTCTACCGAAGGTGTGTATACAAATCCAGAAAAAGTGTTAGAAGTTAAAGGCCGGGCACTCTCCCAAATTGCGCAAAAGTAAAACGTTTCCTGGGGCTTTGCACCTTCTATAGAAGATTCGTGAAGGGCTTTTCTTCCATCGCAAAGCCCATTTATAGGCTTACATGTTCTTGTGGACAAAAGAATGTGAAGATGCATTTAAGAACCTGAAAAAATCTTTAACCTCAGATCCTATCGTAACGTATCTTCAGCTCGACAAACCATTTATTCTCGATATGGATGCGAGCAATGAGAGTATCGGTGCTGTTTTGTCCCAAGGAGTAAACGTTCAAGAATGGTTGTGGTCTACTGGAGCCAGGGGTTATCTACTTGCTGTGTCACCAGGAAAACGGTGTTTCCCTATTTAAAGCCATAGAACATTTTTATCATAATCTTTACGGCAGAAAATTACTATTCCGCACAGACCATGGATCGTAGCCCTGGCTAACAAATTTCAGGAACCACTGAAACCCAAATAGCCATGTGGATACAGATACTCCAGAAATATGACATAACTATCCGTCATCGAAAGGGATCATCACATGGAAATGCCGACGGCCTGTCTAGAAGATCCAGCCCAGAAAGTTGCCGAAATTTTTCCAGGGTCAAAGCGAAATACGAGCCTCTGAATCCGGTAGCATGACAAGTTACAACGTCAAGTCCGCTGATCGAGCCCAATGCAGTGATGAAAGTCAGGAAAGGCAAGTTGGAAGAAAGTGACACTAAACTCATAATTGATTTGATGGAATCTTCAAACAGCAAATCCACCTCGAAGGGCATTTCGCTCTATAGTCGTACGACAAAACAGTAATGTGCTATCTGGGTCACACTCCATGCTCGAAACGGCGTGTTGTACTGGAACTTTGAACTGAATGATGGAAAGCCATTCCAATGGTAGCTGATAGTTCTTAGATCCCGGAATTCCTTAAGGAAATATATAGCAGCCTTGCAAGAAGCCCCTTTGGAATAATGAAGATTTTGCAGACAGTTCGAGGGAGCTTTTACTGGACTAATGCAAAAGATGACTTGCAAAAGTGGTTTAAATCTTGCGATGATTGTGCGAGTCGTCCAGGACCGAAGAAACGCAGCCGAGGCAACGTGCAACGGTACAATATAGGATCGCCTTCTGAACCCGTGGACATTGAATTCCTGGGACCTCTGCCAGAACTGCTGATTGAAAAAAAATACATCCTGGCTGTCATTGATTACTTCAGCAAGAAGCGTATGCTATTTCCGATCAAGAGGCTGTCACGGTAACAAAGAAAATGATATTGATATATTGGATTTCCAGATTCGGAGCGCCTCTTCAGTTACATTTCGATCAAGGAAGAAATTTTGCCTCGGCTGTAATTAAAGAACTCTGCAAGCTACTCAGCATTGACAAAACCCAATCGACACCTTTACATACAAAGTCAGACGGCATGGTAGAGAGGTTTAATCGATCCATTCTTAATAATTTTTCGTTGGTGGTTTCCAAAAATCAGCAGTACTGGGACAAGAATTTACCTCTATATTTACTGGCTTTTCGCAGTACTCTCCACAAGATTACCGGTGAATTCCCATCCCAGATGCTGTTCGTTCGTGACCTTCATCTACATTGTGATCTCATATTTGGTCTCTGTCCGGATGAGCATTCATCGCCAGAGCACTGTGTCCGGGCACTGTATGAAATAATGCACAATTTTGCCCGAGAGCGAGTTAACTTGGTGACGGAGAAGATGAAGACTCAATATGACACAAAACTTGCATTACGTCGATTCAACGAAGGTGAAAAGGTGTGGTTGTGGAATCCGATTCGACGAAAAGGATTCTCTTCTAAACTACAGTTAATCTTGGGATGTTGCTTCAGAGTTCTAAACAAGCTGAAAGACATTGTTGTTCGTATCCGTAAGTCACCGAATTCTTAACCTAAAGTCGTTCATTTTGACCGGATAGCTTCTTATTAGGGCCATAGTACGTTAGGTATAATATAAAAATTATAAGACTATGATCCTATTTTTTTTCTAAATTTTTATGTTTATGCACTCAGTTTTTGATTTAGTATTTAATTTCTTATTTACTGAAATTACTGTTTTATTATTATATGACCCGCCTTAGTTGTAATATAGCTTCTTTTCCAAGGATTGTCTTACCCGCAACGTGCCGTCCTTGGAAAGGGGACAATGTTACATATTTTGTACACAGACAGCTGATTTAGGGCCATTATATGTGAAATTCTTGTATTTTTATGTGTAATGTGATGCGAAAAATCCAAAGACAGAAGTTATGCCGGAAAAGTAGGAATACAAGGGCAAATCCGTTTAACATTGAGCAAATAGGTATCTTGAAACATCACTAAGCTGACGACGATTTTAGCGAATTATTTTGTCACGAAATTTGGAGAAAAACCGTTAAATGTAGCCAACTGGGTGATCATTTGGTCTACATTTTAGTCCACTTCGTGTATCACAGTAATATGTAACTGAAATTCAATAAATGTAATTTATCACTATATTAATTGTAACCGTAATTCGACCTTCATATTGCCTTCCAGTAAATTAAAGAAGCAGAAAGTACCAGAAATGTCTCTTCGACCGGTTGAAAACTATATGAGAAAGGAGACAGCACCTGTTCTGAGTTAGTTCTTAGCATTGTTGCGAGTTGTTATTTCAGAGTGAAATCGGAGATATTTCCGGGTTAGCTTTCTCTTTAGATGCGCTCTGATTTGCGTCGTGTTTAACCTTGTTTATAGTTTGAAGCGTAACTACTCATTGTACTCTGTGATACTGTGAAGACCTGTACGAGTATTTCTATAGATTTCAGAATTTTGAAGTGTTTCTGTTAATAGAATAAATATTATTAACCCATCATCAGACCTACGTGAATTCAATCTGTTACAAACCAGTACGTACGCAGTAATACTCTTATACGGAACAGGAATTGTTTATTATCAAACAAAAATAATGTTAATACGTAATATTTGTTAGGTGGATCATTAAGATAACGACAACAGCTGAATTACGGAAATATAATATTCTCATATAGAAATCGGTAACGCACACCGCCATTCATATACAGATCAGGAAATCTTGGTTTTCAACGTCCTAGCATATTTCCATATTTACAATGTGAGAAAATTGTGCGTCAAACTGTAACCAAATTTTCAAATTTGTACAGATAAGTTACCAAATGAACTTCTTTCCAAATTAAACTGCTTTAAGAAACTGTAAATTTTTAATAATATTTTTCTGTTAATTACAAGATGGGTATATTTTGTGTTTTTTTAACTCAGTCGCATTAACCGGTATCTAGGTTTACCATGGACATAGACCCCTGATTTACTTCAATCGGGAACTTGTTGTATAATACTTTGCAATACCTTTATATAATTCTTTATATGTTAATATAATAAGCTAGAAATCTTTACTTGCACTGAATTCTGTACCTACCTCAATAATTATGTCCCTTCGGTGTGAACGGGAGCAACACCTGTCATTCTGGGTAAGATCGCGGGGTATATAGAACAGCTTCACAGACATATAAATTTTTAGAGCCACTGATTCTTCGATGGTCCGTTCAGGTTCTGCAGACACTATACGGGTATTGTGTAGTCTGCCTCGGGCTGTGTGATTGCTATGTATTTGATAATGTTAAGTCTGTCTTCCGGGGTTCACCTCCGTAGGTCAAGCTCAGGGGAACTAACGTTGTCATACGTTATCTTTGCTCGTTCGGTGAGCAGTCGGATCCCGGTCTTGCGCTTTTATACCTCGCCTTGTTTACTCTCGCTCGTGATTGACAACTGCTGATTTGCGGCTCCGTGGATCGCCTCTAAAGGATGAAGCGTCTTAGTTAAAGGCTTGTTTTAAAGCCTTATGAGGTTTCCTAACCTTATGAGGTATCGTTAACTGAATTTAAAAGTAATCTTTCCATAACCAAAAAAATTAGCTTGTCTAAACGTAGAATTATAATCTGCCTTAGGTTTTTCACCTCATTTTGTAGATGATTAAGAATTCCATCTTTCTTTCTGTAAATAATATAGGGTTATTGTTTTATATATATATAAGAACTACGACTAATCACAGATAGATTACCTATAGACAGAAACGGCATAGATAAGGGCAGATAGATTACGCATTGACAGAAAGCATAGATAGATAAGACAGATAGATTATACGACAGATGTAATATGCATTCTCAACGTACCATTCTCTTCTCTACTTTTCGTTCCGTCTTTATGAAACAATCGTGCTGAAAATAAAAATAAGATAAAATAGTTAATTTCAGAAAAATACAGTAAATACACACCATGCATATAAAAGCCTTTAAGTGAACTTTATTTTTGCAACCATTGTTTTCAGGCATTCATTTTAGTTAATGTAAATGTTCATGGTATAGAATTTTTAAATAAAAAATTCATTTGGCAAAAATTATGCAATCTAACTTTTTTATGCCCTCCGGTGCGTGCAGTCATAGATAACAAGAGTTAATACAGATGCTGTTCCCACACTTTTTAGACGGTTTTGCTTTGTTGTTAAAAAACTCTTCTACTTTTTAACTGCAACTATATTTTTGAAAGTATAAATTATCTGCTTTTTGACAGCTTTGTTTTCATGCAAAATGTCGCTTTGAAAGAAATAAAGGATTGAAGGCTATGTTTATGTTTTTTTCCGAAGAAAATTAATCAAATCCATTTATTAAAAAACGTTGTGGAAGCCATGGACTTTCTATATCTAAAAGCTACGATAGGTAATGTTGTCAATAACAAATGAAAAAAATGTCAAATTTTAGCTTGAAGTGAAAAATTATTCCATATTACTGATATGTGTGAGTCCAAAGAAAAAAATGGAATGTTTCGAATGTTGCAAAAGTAAAATATTTAATGTTAAAAGAAAAGACGTGAAGACAAAGAACAGTTGAAAAATCAGTAAAATGCTTAATGCTAACTGTAAACAAAGTGATTAATGCTGATTTGAATCTTAAAAAAGAGGAAAAAAACATAATGTGCATCTTTTTCTCCACGACGGTTACAGCCGGAAACATCGCGGAGAAATCAACGCAAGGCGAAAACGTCGTGGTAGAAAACATCGTCGGAGAAAAGAATGCAAAGAGAAAACTTTGCAGTTTCTAAATCATCGGGAGACAAAATATCGTGGTCGAAAATAAAGCGTTTAAAAAATTCCGCAGTTTAAAAACATCATCGTCGAAAATTTCACGGTAAAAAATAAAGTACCTACAAATCATCGTATGACGATAACATCGCAGTCATGCGTTTTTCAGGTTTTAAAATTTGTAACTGCATTTTCCCATAATGATATGGAAACGCAAGAAGGAAAGAGGGTGAAAATGTTAACGATACTTCAAGAATAAAAGAAACGAAACAAGATATAATTTTCACTAAAACGATAACAGATTAACAAATGTGAAAAATATAATTTGATAGTTAACTAAGCAATTTGTATAGAGGTAAACTGATGCAGTTATTTATCTTCCTTTTTCTAAACATTTTTAGAGTATATTTTTCATGAAAAATTATCAGTAAAATTTTATAATAAAAAAAGATTAATTTACTAAAAAAACCTTTGTTATTGAACTTTGTAAAATTATAAAATTCATTTAAATGCTATAAGTGTCATTATTTTGCTACTCATTTTCAAATTTTAAATGCTTAAGTTCCCTTCTTACATTTTCAACAAAAATTTATTAGTTCATTCAAAAATATGAAAGTATAGGAGTAAAAATATCCCTCTTTCTTATGCTCCCAAATCATTATGCAAAAATACACTTACAACTTTAAAACCCGAAAAACGCATATGTGCGATGTTATCGGCATGCGATTAATTGTAGGTACTTTATTTTTTACCATGGTATTTGCGAAGACGATGCTTCTGTACTGCAAAGTTTTTGAACCTGTTTATTTTCAACCACGATATTTTGTTCAGGATATTTTAGAACTGCAGTGTTTTCTCTTTGCTTTCTTTTCTTCCACGATGCTCTACGACGTTTTCGTCTTGAGTTGTTTCCTCCGCAACGTTTTCGTCCTCGATGTAGGTACCCTAAGACCAAAAGTGGTTGCCATTTTATTGCGGAAGGTACGTAATAAGCGACCACGGTTATCTCCTATGAATGGGGACATACCGTCTTATTAATTATTAAAGTTAAGCAGACTGGCCCAAATTAAAGTTAAGCAGACTGGAGAAAAATGTTAAGATCAACACCACATTTTATCAGTAATATATATAGCCTCTCTTTACCTACAGGGCCGTCAAACAGTAGACCTCTATCAAGAGAAAACGAGCAGCCGTTCTTCAAAATCCACTTTAAATTTCCTGGAAAAAAATGGAATATGAAACGAGTATCAAGGGTGTACCCCTAATTCATATGCCTAGTAAGTATTCTGATATTGGTCTGATATTCTGATAGCAAATATTCTGATCATGGATTTTGGGGGTTTTGGATTTTAGAAAAGCGTGTTGTTCAAACGTTGACCTACAACTTTCTTAGCCTTTGGAAAATTGTTCGAGAACAATGGGATAAGACATCTATTTCGATACTTCAAAAGGCTTTATTGTCTTGGAAATTACGGCGTATAAAGATAGAGAAGAATAAGGGTTATCAAATAGAACATTTAAAACACAAAATGTTTAAGTAAAATATTTCTGTATTTGCAATGAATATCGGGTAAAAAATGGGCGAACTGCCTGTGTATTCATTCAAAAAATGAAACATAAAACACTTGACACTGACAGACCAAAAAGTGACAGAGACACTTTATTTTAAAGTTTGTGATTATGCTGAAGGATCGTACACAAATTAAAGACAGAGCTGTTTGCACTTGTACGGAACTAAAAATGAAATCTCAGTTAAGAAAAAGGATTTTGACAACCATAGATCAAATGCCGAGCATTGCTATGCAGATTGTCGTGAAAAGTCTTAATCAGTTCAGATGTTTACAAACGAAGATGCGTTTCGCAAAAGTCTTCATGAATTCATGCTCAGAAAAGAGTTACAGGTTTCAGTATTAGCACATAGCTAACTCGTAACATTATTTGCATAAATTAAAAATAAAAACTACTTCTACTGAAATGGATTGGATTATTTAATTATGGCAAAGCACACGAGGGCTATCTACCTAAAGGGAGGGATGCCTTCGTGTAGGACTTTCTAAGGGAAACTGGCTCGTATACACGTTACACATGGAGAAAACCACGAAAACGCCCATGCAGCCAGCCCGTTCGCGGGATTCGAACCTCGGACCGAACTACCAGTATTTAGCTTCTTTACCGCTCGGCCGCTGGTGGGCCTTCTACTGAAATGAATGACTGCGTATGATTATTATTAGATTAAAAAATCGTAGATTTTAAAATTCCAAGAGAATATTATAACATATTATTTAACATAGTTTTAGCCCTTGAAAGCTTTTAATTTTCCTGTATCATAAATTGTATTTATCAAGAAAAACTGAAAAACATGACAAAAATGCCAAATTTTGAATTTAGATATTTTTTTAAATTCTTGTTGCAGCGAAACATTTGTGTTTTGTTCTTTATAACGAATATAAGCTCTTATTAACGGTAACTATAGAGACCGTCAAGCCGTATAAGATACCAGTTTATATTAATTTACGAATTCTTCTTTGTAAATTTAAAAAAAAAAAAAAAAAAAAAAACCCACATAAACATGAATATTTTTTTAATTTAAAGCATTTTCATAATCGGTAGTATATATCTATCACGAAAGACTGAGAAAATAAAATCCGCATAAGCAATTTTATGGACACGGTGGATATATTTTACTAGCGAGTGAGCCCGTTAGATAAGCGGGTTGCGGCCAAAACGAAGTCTGTACACCTGAAAAGAAAATGCACAAAAATATTTCAATAGGAATAAAATCAGTTCATTTTTCCCAAGCAGCAATTAATTCGTAAATAATTTTCTGATGCCAACTTTTTTTCAATAACAATAACATATCATGTAAATTATTCTAACCTGAAAGAAGAAAGTTGCCAACAGCAGCTACTTACTCAAAATGCTCACATTAATGAAACATTTTAGACATACAAGGACGTCACATGCAGTCGCGTGCTTTCTCTAACTTCAGAATATGACCTTACATAATAATAATATATTTAATGTTTGGAAATGCTATTTTTATTTCCTATTTTTTAAAACTCACAAATGTTTTATTAACAAACTATACGATTTGAAAGCGATCAGTGGTAACACTTTTCGAAATGAAGCATTTTTATCTACCACGCGCGACACTGTTTCCAAACGGAAAAACCTGATGTGTACACCACATGACTTCCTTGTACGGAATATTAAATTATACGCATTTTTTCTTGCATTTTATTTAAACTTATTGGATTGAATTAAATCTACTTTGTCGATAGCTCATAACTACAAAAGAATAAAGGCACACTTTAAAATTCACTATATTTGTTTACCATAGCGACACTGGCGCTAGGTTCATTTAACAGCGTTATATTTCGTTCATATTGTAACACAGATCATCATTCGTGTAAAATGCATGCGGCCTATTGAGGCCTTTTACCAGTTTACATTTCTTAAGTTCCTAATGGCATAAAGATGAGGGGAAAAAAATCCGAACAAGCGGAAAGTCTTAAACCACTGGGTGCGGATCTCATATGAGAAAGAAGTACGACGCCATCTGTTGACTTCAATAATCTTCAGTAATGGCGTATCTTTGGAATGACGTTCATGCGGCGCCATCTGATGCCATGGGATAATTTATAACTCAGAATGCACAAAATTTATATCATTTGAAGAATTATCTAATCGTTGCCACATGTTCTTTTCAATTATTATAATACATCTAAAACAATGCATAAAAGAAATTTAAGAAAACAAAACAAAAAAGAAACAGTTTTTCACAGACGATTAAGTATTTGTCATTCAATTAATTCAGTTCTGACTTCGCGACAAGGCAAAAATACATAAAAATTCAAAATATCTACATTAAAAATTACGAAGTAAATCTTAAACACTTATTTCTTCGAAACAATTCCAGAAAGGATTAAGCATAATTTAATTCGTAATAATAAACGAAGACGTTATCTTTGTTGTTGCGAAGCTTAGTTTCTCTACATTGCCAACAAATCTACTGTTCTGCTGTTTCACATGTAAACAAATATGTCCGCTATGTTACTTAAAAATTAGCCTTAACTACACCCAAACAGCATTTAAATTGCTGATAATTGTACAAATATTGCTACAGATTTACCAAAGGCA